TAGAGGAATTCCGCGGAGTTTATCGGATCGGCGTGATACGAGAAAACGCGCGGCAAAGAACTGAGATATAAATTTCCGTGCGCCGAGTAATTAGTCGCGATAAAACTCGCGGGGCCGCAGTTATCTCGGAATCGTGATCTCTCGCCATGCACGCAGAATTCGCGCGCGTTTCCGCGCGGTGTACCTCGCGCGACGTTGAGCGATTCGGTGCGACGCCGGTGCTGCCGGTGCACGTATTACTCTCGCACCGAGCAGGACGACGACGAGGGGGAATCGAGCAGAATCGAGTTCCGAGATCAAGTCACGCGTAGTCTAAAAGAAAGTCGTTTAAAGGTCAACAACAACAGCAGCGGCAGCAGCAACGGCGGCAGCAGCGTGGCTCGACTTGCATCACAAATGCCAATCTACTTACGAAATGTATACAGAGAACAATGTTACTCTCTTGCCTACCGCCGCCATCGCCGCCATTTGCCTCCTCATCCTAATCGTCGCGCCGTCCTTTTAGAGGCACTTGCGCAACGATACCCGGGGGAGTATCGATTTTCTCCCCTTTCAACCCCTTTCTGCCATACTTTTAGCCGATAGGCCGTCGCTTCCGGCGGGTTTCCAGCAGATTGGTCGAAATATCGCTTTTGGCAATCTCGTCACGCGGCGATATTGTCGATGATGATTCGCTTATCGTAGCGAGAGGGTGGTTAAATTCTTTGCGCGAACGAGTATCGGGATTCCCGCGCGATCAGCCGCGATTGACCGGATCTCGATCACGCGCGATCACTCTTTCGCGATAAAGGAGCGTAGATTCTCGCGTAGGTTCTCGCTTTCCGCACGAAAGATTTCGCGAATCGCAACGGCAACGGCAACGGCAACGGCAACGGCGACGGCAACGGCGACGGCGACGGCGACGGCGACGTATCTCCGGCGTCATCTTATTCATATCCGCGAAATAATGCTGAATAATTTCACCATAAATACGGCGCGTTCGCGTGGGCGTAAAGTAACGATAATGCAAGTAAATAATGGACGCGAGAGTTTTATTACCTAGGCGGCTGAATGGACGGAGAGATAGAATCTACGTGTCCGCGCCGCGCCGTGCCACGGATGTACAGCCCCCTCGAGGAGGATCGGAGGATGCGAAGGACCTCCGTGCGCCTCGTGCCTCGTCCCTAGCCGCAACGCAACCCGCGATGCGATGCGATGCGATGCGACGCGACGCGACGCGACGCAACGCAACGCAACCCGCGGTCGCCCGGAGCCCGAACCCGAGCTCCTTCTTCGTCCCCCTTTTCGTTCTGCCTGTTGAAGCCGTTCCTTCGGTCAACTAACGAGGGTCTCGCTCGTTTAGCGCTTCAAACAGCGTTATCTTTTGAAATTTGCGGTTCTAACGTAAGTGACGACTACACCGTAAAGGATAAAAATCAATGAGTTGAGAAAATGCCTTCGAAACTTGGTAGATAAATTTTATGTTATCGCGTACGGCTATCGCTAGATTTTACCGTATAACTGTAAATGAATTACAGTTATAACAGATTGTTGATAAAATATCGCAACCGGAGCAATTAAAAATTCAGCTTCGTATTTCGTGGAAACGATCGTCGCAATTATCTCGAAGTCGCGTCATCCCCGTGTGCGCGCATTGTTATCGAGGTCAGAACACTTGGACGAGCAGAAAAATATGACAGATCGTGAACATACTCATGCCTTCTCGCGAGTATGTATCCGTTCGAGTGGATAGTGTGATCGCGATCGCGATCGCGATCACGATATCGAACGCAAAGTCGCAACGCGCGGCGGGCGATGATAAGCCTTTTGGCAAGAATCGCGCGAGAGGACATTTCGGGGCGACTTCATGGCTGACATTTTCCTGGGCGTTTATCGCGATAATGCGGCTTTAGGTCAGAGGGTGTGGCCTCCCCAGATTGATTCGGCGAGCTATGTTTGCTTCTGCGCGCTGCGTTTTCTCGCCGCGAGCAGTATGGCGTCGCGTCGCCTCGATTCTTCTATTCATCCATCTTCCTTGGCCGCATTGCGTTTATCACGTCACTATATCGATGAATTTAGTCGGTGATTCGTTCCCGAGATAATTATGAAGTACGAGTCGACTAGTTTGCACGAGTTATCGAAGGCGCCGTATCAAAGGCGCCAAATGTTACGCAATTCGATAGACGATTATATATATTTAATCCAATTTCTTACTACTTTTGTTAAAATAGAGCAAGTCAAGGGGAATGACTCGCTTTCAATTTCAGTTTCAGCTATCAATTACAGATTAAGATTTTGCATTTAAAAAAAAATGATTGATTTTTTTGATCGTTTTCATCATCCTCTTTTCGCTACTCCACGCGATTTTCCACGTTCTCTCGCAAAACCCGTTAATACAGTGTCTGCAATGAGCTCGAAGCGAGAAATGTTCTTGCGCTCCGGAATCATTGGCGGCATGCTAATCGAGTTGTAGGAGAACGGATATCGTATCTCGCATTCGCCGGAATATCGCGAACTAGATTTATTAACTCGCTATAGCCGAGGGGGAAAAAAGAAAAAAAATCATTCCTTTTCCGAGGACGATTACGACGTCCGCCGTCGTCGTCATCGTTATCATCGTCGTTGTTGTTGGTGTATGCGATCAACAAACCAGCTTGCGATCAACCGGAATAATCAAGCGAAGATATTAGCGTAGCGTGCATCCGCGCGCGCGCGTGCGCGTGCGCGCGCGCGGACTCACGCGCGTGGGAGTGCACGCGCACGCACGCATGCATAACGCATACACACGTGTCGCCGCTACATAATGACGACGCAGTATCGGCGCGGCGTGGGTGTTCGTTCTCGCTCCGACAGATTCGAAAACGCATTATTAACACCGGCGACCCTGGCTCTATGATTACGCGCATTAATAGCCGGATGGACGAACTTTGCTCGCGCTCCGCACTATCATTATCATCGCAACGCGAGAAAGAGACGGATGACGAGAGATTGTAGGAAAAGAGGTTGGTCCCACCGTGGCCGGCCCCGATGGATCGAGAAAAAAAATTGCGAAACGCTCTCGCTCTTCGGGCGCATTTTGCCGTATTTAATATCGTGTGTGTTTTCGCGCGTAACAGATATATTCAATTATAGGGTATATATTTTATTAAATTAAGACAGAAATAGTATCAAGTACAAGTTTTACGAGGTAAGAAGTCATCAAGGCACCATAACACGTGGCATTGCAAATCGCATTTTCAACGTACGTTGTCCGCTTCAGATCATATTCTTAAATCGATATATAAATTTTTGCAAATACAGATATGGATTAGGGAATCACATAAAAAAGATCATATCTTCGTTTATTTGGTATAAATTTTTTTTACATTTACAAACAAAATGATAACGTCTTTATAAATTTCAACGGATTCTTTCCGTTATTTTTCGGCCTCAAAAAAAATTTCCAATCTGTACTCTTTCACCGCTCGTAAAATCGAAACCTTCGTAATCGAGGCACCATCGTTCGTCGACGCAAACGCGATGCAAACGCGATACGCTACGATTTAAGCATACAGATTTTTTAAGTATAATGTTTCGCGCGCGCATCGTACCTCGCTCCTTTTCAAATTGCATATCAGGTACGATCGAGTGTCGCGAGTGTACCAATCTTCCGACGATGAATTATTCATTGTGTAAATAATTCATAAATCATTGCGGGTTGCACAAGCGGGGCGAGCAACAAAGCCCCATCGAAAGCTCAAAATCTTGTCGCGTGATATTTTTAATCGAATCTGTAAGCGTCTCTTAGTAATTTAGATTATCTATCGAAGCATTCGAAGATGTCCACGTGAAATAGTTAATGTCAAACAATCTTCTACACTAAAAGCCTTTAGCGCTACAGGTTCAAGTCCCAAAGGTTGGAGCAGTGTCATAATTTTTTCGATCCTCTTTCGACAGGTATTCGATACGTTCTCGTAGCTTTAGCCGCGTAGCTTTAGATTCCAACGGAAGTGTTAAAGTCATAAAGATCGAAACGATGCCGTAACTGTCTCTCAGCTTCGCTTTTGATACCCACATGCGTTTCCGGCGCGGGAGAACAGTACCGACGATGGCATCGTCGTCGATCCGAGAGACCCTTGTAGAACTTCTCCGAATGTTATGCACCGAACGCGCTGTAGCGAGGTGGCACTCATCGTCTTTCGACATGACAAGAGAGAGGAAAAGAGAGGAAGAGCGAGCATGTGCGGTGTACCATGGGGCGCGAGGGCGGTGTTGCCCGTGTACAAATCATGCGAAGGATGACGCGGCATCGCCAGCCTCCCGCGTTCCGTCTTCCGTCGCTCCTCCTCGCGCGTGCTGGACGTCGTAGGGCGAGACGGTGTTGTGCATGTTGACGATGTCCGACCCGGGGACCTTCGCCGCGCGTATCACCATATCGCAAGTCACTCGCCTCCTCCCCCCCCCGTCCTTTTCTCGGCAGATGCGCCCTGTACAATTTTTACGAACGTTGGAACAACCGGAGGAACTTTGACTATTTGTTGTTAGAAGAATGCTAAGTAGTATATATATATGTTTGTCATAATTTTTAAAAATTATCGCTAAAGAGCTCTGTCGTGCGTCTTTCACTACTAGCACTGACGATTACATTTGGAAATTAACGATACATTAAAAAGTGATAACGTAAATGAAATAGTAGTTTGAGAATCGAAAGAAATGTTATACACTAATTAGAAAGTTAGATTTACAATTGTACACGACGAGTTCCGTTTCTTTTGTTCCCAGCAGACGTCGGACCTGGACACTTTGCTGTGCAGACAGGATCTCGATCGTCTACAAAGGCTGGACGAAGATGAATCGGATGCGAGGGATGCGCGGGAGTCATCCGTGCACATGGAGGACTTTTTCGAGGTCAGTGGACCTACGGCAGTGTGCCGACCACCACAGGCTAGTTTTGTTTCCGCCAGAAATCAGTCCGCTACCGCCGGCCAGGATGACGACGTCTTTCTTAGGCCGCCGCTTTGGGAGGATATCACGTCGAGTATCCAAAAGCTGGATCCGGAAAACGCGGACATGTTGGGCTCGCAGTCCCACGTAAAGATGGAGACTGACGATGTGACATCGCCGCCGGTTCTTTCCCCGGTGGAGATCAAGACGGAACCGTTACCACCACAACCGACCTTGCATCTTCTCGAGGGGCCAACCACGAATCCTTCACAGAATCCCTTTTCGAACTCCTCTAGTGTTCAACATGTCGTCCACCATCGGACGACGACGACGACGACGACGACGGCAACGACGGCGGCTCTCTTCAAGAGTTTTCCCAACAACAATAACAACAACAACAGCGGGACTGTTAATAGTAATAGCGCAAGTGGGAATAACACTGGTAGCAATAACGGTAACGGCAACGGCGCCAACGGCAACAACAACAGCAACAACGGCGGTGGTAGCAATAATGATTCGTCGACAACCAGTCATCATCAGCCGAGTGGCAACGCGACATCGCCGCTCTATGGTTCGATGACGAGGCTGATGTATATTTCGCCGCTGACGCCACCGATCTCCGATCCCGGTTCGCCCATCGGTGCCGGTCCACCCAGGCGAACACCGCCACCCCCGTATCCCCAACCGGGCCCGATTCTGAATCCAGCCCACAGGATTCAGCCGCCATCGATGACGACCAAGTTCAATAGGCGGAATAATCCAGAGTTGGAGAAGCGTCGGGTGCACCATTGCGATTTCATAGGTGAGCATAGATAATTTTCGCAGCCTTAGTTCTTAACTCGACAGTATACTTTTCTAAAAGAGAATTTAAAAAGAAAGATAGGGTGTTTCCGAATAACATGTACAAACAGGCGAGAGGTGATGCCTTATGAAAAAATAAGAAAAAAATGTAAAGAATAAAATGTTTTCGTTTTCGGCTTAGATAGAGATCTTGAAATAATCAAGTTTGGAAATTCGTTCCGTGTTATATGCACTTACGGTTAAGATTCACCCATAAGTGACGCATAATGTCTACCCGTGTTTATAAACAATGTTTTACAACTTTTGGTATGTCAAATCGTCGGTTCATCATGAACATTTAGTTTTCGTTAATTTGCTACGACAATAATTTATATGAATCGGGAATACAGTGATATAATTCGAGCTTTGGGGGTCTGTCACAGAAATTTATCCGCTACCATTCGTCATTGCAGGGAACGATATCCTAATCGTAGAACGGAGAACGATACAAAGAATAGAAAGAAGTCTTTTGAAAAATGCAGAGGAAATCGCATTTTAGCCGTAAGTGTGTACAACACGGGGTGAATTTCCAAACTTGATTATTTCG